CGAATTAACCACAGATTCAATCTTAAGAACTCAAAAAGCTCTCGAATTACGCTTTCGATCAAAAAGTCTATCAAACCTCATCTGAATGACCTAAAATTTTGCACACACGTCATATTCAACACTACAGAGCTACTCCAACTTCCGGAATTCCATTCCAACCCTTAGATCAAAATCTCACTATCGAACCAGAAACTTCAAAAAAATTCCACTTTCGCCATTTCAAGCCTAAATAAGCTACGGTCCTCCAAAACACAATCCAAACATGCCCCTAAGCCCGAAATCACCCAACGGAGCTAACGGAATTCCATTCCGTGGCCTTCTTCACACTGCTCCGACTATGGTCAAAATTCTAAGACTTAAACTCTCATTTAGGGACTAAGTGTCCCAAAACTCTCCGAAACTCCAAATAAATCCTCCCGGCAACTCCCAATAGCAGAAACAAACACGGGGAATGCATTTAACTGGGGATCGGGGCGTTAATTCTTAAAACGACCGATCGGGTCGTTACACTTACCCTTTATAACGGCATATTAAGCCATAATACGTTGGGACTCAAACCCAACATCTTATCATCATGATGCACCAGGACTCAAATTCGGTGTCTGAATACCTCTTACGAAATATTGCTATTTCTGAAGCAAATTCGAGGCATGTAACATAGAGAATAGTTCCCTAACACGACTTCATCAATAATAAATTTAGCATTTGAAAATGTTACCACTTTTAATTATCATAACAACCAATCCTAACTAACAATACTTTGAACGAATTATCACTTAATTTAGCAGGTGTAAGCATAAATATTTAGTCATAATGAGCCTTTATGAAAATATTAATTATCACTTTAATGGTTATATATTTCTTATAATTTGATAAGCAAATAAAAGAAAACTATGTACCACGTATCATTGGATTGACATTTAATGAAGATACATCTAATGTTGATAACCAAATAAATATGATAATTTTCACTCCTTTAATAAGATTTAATAACTGTAACGATCCGACCGGTTGTTTTGAGCTCTAGCACATCGTTCGATGGTTTGAGGCCAAGAGCAGCTTCACTTCAGGTATTATTACTTGTACGCGTGGTCGGAATTGAATTTCGGGAAGTTTGGAGTTGATTTGGAAAGACAATTCTAAATTCGGAAGCCTTAAGTTGGAGGAATTGACTAAAGTGTGATTTTTGAGTAAACAACCTTGGAATCAGGATTTGGAGGTTCCAACAGGTTCGTATGATGATTTTGGGATTGGGCGTATGTTCGGATCGGGTTTTGGATGACCCGGGAGCGTTTCGACGCCTATTGTGGAAATTGGCATTTTGGAAGAATTTCATAAATTTGGGTTGAGGTATATTTCAATGTTATCGATGTCCGTTTGGGATTCCAAGTCTAGGAATAGCTCCGCATAGTGATTCTGGTGTTGGGAGCGCGTCTGAAAGTGGATTCGGAGGTCCATAGGTATTTTGGGGTCATTTGGCGAAAGATAGAAATTTGAAGGTTTTTGAGAAGTTTGACCGGAAGTGGACATTTTGATATCGGGGTCGGATTCCGATTCCGGAAGTTGGAGTAGGTCCGTAATGTCGAATGTGACTTGTGTGCAAAATTTAAGGTCAATCAGATGTGATTTGATAGGTTTCGACATCGAATGTAGAAGTTTGAAGTTCTAAATTTCATTAAGCTTGAATTGGGGTGCGATTCATGATTTCGATGTTGTTTGATGTGTTTTGAGGCCTCGATCGGGTCCGTGTTATGTTATGGGACTGGTTTATATTATTGGAGGGGGCCCCGGGGATTCGGTTGTGTTTCGAGGTAGATTCGGATCATTTCAGACTGTTTTGCAATAGTTGATGCTGGTGTCTGGTGTTGTTCTACGCATTCGCGAAGAAGGATTTGGCTTCTGGGATTTTGTTCTTCGAGTTCGCGAAGAAGAAAATCTATGTTACTCAGGTCTGAATTCGGAGGCTCATATATCACAATCTATAAGGAATTTGGAGATGATCCAAAAATAAAAGTTGTACCACTTTGTGTCTAGTTTTCATAAAGGTAAACCATTTAGCATTTGGATTTGTGTACAACAATTTATGGCTGGTACACTATAGGCAGTCCGAGAAGATGAAGAAGAAATTTGTGTTGCATAAGGCTGACTTTGGCAGCTTATATCTCAAAAATCAATAAGGAATTAGGAGATGACCAAAACATGACAGTTGTATATCTTGGTGTCTAGCTTGCAAAACATTAAACCATTTGTCATTTGGAGTTTTGTACAAAAAGCTATGGCCATTATACTAGAGGCTGTCTGAGAAGAATTTGGAAATGGATTTTGAGAGTTTTGTTCATTGCAAACGCGATGAGGGCCTCAAGAACGCGAAGAAGGGTCGCCTGGGCAGTGTATAAGTTCGAAACAATGGGTTTGGCTCATTTCATCTCATTTCCTCCATGGGAGCCGACCTAGGAGTGATTTTGGAGCTCCATTTTCATCATCAATGTCTAGGTAAGTGATTCCCATATATTGCAAGTTAAATACTTGGATTATATATATATATTTTAACATGGAAATTCATGAAAAATTAGTGAAAACTTGGGGTTTTGGGAAAAAAACCTAGAAATTGATATTTTTGGATTTTGACCACGAATTTGGGGCATGGAATTTGAAACAAATTTTATATTTGAGTTCGTGGGGGTTATGAGTAAAGTTTATCTTCGAAAATTATCAGAATCCGGGCACGTGGGCCCGGAGGTGAATTTTAGGAATCTTGCATTTAGAGTTGGGTAATCACCTTAATAGTTGGAATATGAACTTTTGAGTGTATATTGATTTGTTTATACACCATTTGAATAGTTTTGGATTATTCGGCACCGATTTCGGGGTTTGAGCTCATCCTTGGACCAGAAAGTAGGCCTTGAGATGAGGTAAGTCTCCTTTCTAACCTTGTAAGAGTGAATTAACCCCATAGGTGAACTAAATTATTATGTGCTTCTATTTTTGGGGGCTACGTACGCACGAGGTGATGAGAGTCCGTACGTAGCTACTAACTATTCCTATGTCCGGGTAGTTTTAGACTTACATCATGCCTTGTTGATATTGTTAATGATTTATATTTATTGCTTGCCTTGAGAGGTGGCGAGATTGAGTTTGCTTATTAAATATTTTGAAAGGAGTGAAATTAAAGAATATACGATTTCAAAGGTTTCATTTGAACTTTGTTTTTTCGAAAAGAATTGAGAAATATTATAATAGCTTAAGAAATCTATGTGTAACCGCGTCACATGTATGTTTCGCGAGTGGGGTAATTTCCTTAAAAAGCTACAAGCTGAATTTACCTTATTTTGAAATGAATCAAGAAAGAGATATGATTTAAATGTTAAATTTATATTTGACCGCATCGCAAGTATGATCCGCGAGTGGGGTGATTCCTTAAATTTATATTTGACCGTGTCGCATGTATAATTAGCGAGCGGGGTACTTCCTTCTACTACTCTTATAGGATCGGGCCGTTCGCCTCGGCAGGATTTATGTACCACACTCTCATGGGAGCGGGCCGTTTGCCTCGGCAGGTTAATAGATGCATCTATGGTTCGCGTCGTTCGACCCTCGGCAATGCACAGTTTACTTTTATGTTGGATCGAACCGTACGCCTCGGCATTTCCTATATATATATATATATATATATATA